ACTGATCCCTTGATTGTTATGCAGTATCCTTCTTTGCCTCTTGTAACAGTCTTTGTTTTAAAGTCTATTTTGCCTGATACAAGAATTGCTACTCCAGCTTTCTTTTGATTTACATTTGCATGGAATATCTTTTTCCATCCCCTCACTTTCAGTCTGTATGTGTCCCTAGGTCTGAAGTGGGTCTCTTGTAGACAGCATATATACAGGTTTTGTTTTTGTATCCATTCAGCCAGTCTATGTCCTTTGGTTGGAGCATTTAATCCATTTGCATTTAAGGTAGTTATTAATATGTATGTTCCTATTACCATTTTCTTAATTGTTTTGGGTTTGTTATTGTAGGTCTTTTCCTTCTCTTGTGTTTCCTGCCTAGAGAAGTTCCTTTAGCATTTGTTGTAAAGCTGGTTTGGTGGTGCTGAATTCTCTTAGCTTTTGCTTCTTTGTAAGGTTTTAATTGCTCTGTCAAATCTGAATGAGATCCTTGCTGGGTAGAGTAATACTGGTTGTAGGTTTTTCCCTTTCATCACTTTAAATATGTCCTGCCACTCTCTTCTGGCTTGCAGAGTTTCTGCTGAAAGATCAGCTGTTAACCTTATGGAGATTCCCTTGTATGTTATTTGTTGCTTTTCCCTTGCTGCTTTTAATATTTTTTCTTTGTGTTTAATTTTTGATAGTTTGATTAATATGTGTCTTGGCATGTTTCTCCTTGGATTTATCCTGTATGGGACTCTCTGTGCTTCCTGGACTTGACTATTTCCTTTCCCATATTAGGGAAGTTTCCAACTATAATCTCTTCAAATATTTTCTCAGTCCCTTTCTTTTTCTCTTCTTCTTCTGGGACCCCTATAATTCGATTGTTGGAGTGTTTAATGTTGTCCCAGAGGTCTCTGAGACTCTCCTCTTTTCATTCTTTTTCCTTTATTCTGCTTTGTGGTAGTTATTTCCATTATTTTATCTTCCAGGTCACTTACCTTTCTTCTGCCTCAGTTATTCTGCTATTGATTCCTTCTAGAGAATTTTTAATTTCCTTTATTGTGTTGTTCATCGTTTGTTTGCTCTTTAGTTCTTCTAGGTCATTGTTAAACATATCTTGTATTTTCTCCATTCTACTTCCAAGATTTTGGATAATCTTTACTATCATTACTTTGAATTCTTTTTCATGTAGCCTGACTATTTCATTTGTTTGGTTTGGTGGGTTTTCACCTTGCTCCTTCCTCTGCTGCATATTTTTCTGTCTTCTCATTTTGCTTAATGTACTGTGTTTGGGGTCTCCTTTTCGCAGCCTGCAGGTTTGTAGTTCCCGTTGTTTTTGATGTCTGCCCTCAGTGGGTGAGGTTGGTTCAGTGGCTTGTGTAGACTTCCTGGTGGAGCAGACTGATGCCTGTGTTCTGGTGGATGAGGCTGGATCTTGTCTTTCTGGTGGGCAGGACCATGTCCAGTGGTGTGTTTTGGGGTGTCTGTGAACTTAGTAATGATTTTAGGCAGCCTCTCTGCTAATGGGTGGGGTTGTGTGCCTGTCTTGCTAGTTGTTTGGCATTGGGCGTCCAGCACTGGAGCTTGCCGGCCGTTGGGTGAAACCAGGTCTTAGCGTTGAGACGGAGATCTCTGGGAGAGTTCTCGCTGATTGATACTACGTGGGGCTGGGAGGTCCAATGTCCTGAACTCGGCTTTCCCACCTCAGAGGCTCAGGCCTGACACCAGGCCGGAGAACCAAGACCCTATCAGCAACACAGCTCAGAAGAAAAGGGAGAAAAAAAGAACAAAAAAATTAAAAAAAAAAAAAAGATTATTTAAATAAAAAAGAATTATTAAAATAAAAAAATAAAAAAAGAAGAGAGCAATGAAACCAATAAACAAATCTACCAATGATAACAAGTGCTAAAAACTATACTAAGATAAACATAAAGATCAGAAACAAGTCAGTTGCAGACAGCAAACCCTAAGTCTACAGTTGCTCCCTAAGGCCATCGCTTCAATTTTGGGACAATTCATTGTCTAGTCAGGTATTCCACAGATGCAGTACATCAAGTTGATTGTGGGGATTTAATCCACTGCTCCTGAGGCTGCTGGGAGAGATTTCCCTTTCTATTCTTTGTTCGCACAGCTCCTGGGGTTCAGCTTTGGTTTTGGCCCTGCCTCTGCATATGGGTCACCCTCAGGCATCTGTTCCCACCCAGACATGAGAGGGTTAAAGCAGCAGCTGATTAGGGGGCTCTTGCTCACTCATGCCACGGGGAGGGAGGGTTATGGTAGTTATCATTGGAATGTGGGGTGAGCCTGCAGCAGCAGAGGCCAGCATGACATTGCAACAGCCTGAGACACGCTGTGTGTCGGGACCCTGGCAGTGGCTCCTGGTGGGGGGACGGCGCATGTGGATACTGACCTGTGCGTTTCATGCCTGTCTCTGGTGCCCGAGCTAATAGCTGCAGCTCGCACCATCTCTGGACCTCGTTTAGTCAGCGCTCTGCCTTCTGTGTGCAGACAGGGAAGGAATCCCCTCTCTTGGGGCAGCCAGAAACAATGGTCTCTTGCCTCTTAGGCAGGTCCAGACTTTTTCCCAGACTCCCTCCCTTCTAGCTGTGGCGCACTAGCCCCCAACAGGCTGTGTTCACGCAGCCAACCCCAGTCCTCTCCCTGGGGTCTGACCTCCAAAGCTGGAGCCTCAGCTCCCAGTCCCCACCTGCCCTGGCGGGTGAGCAGACGAGCTCTGAGTGAGTGCTGGTTGGCACCAGTTCTCTGTGTGGGAATCTCTCCACTTTGCCCTCTGCACCCCTGTTGCTGTGCTCTTTTCCATGGCACCGAAGCTTCTCCCCTGCCCACCCCCATCTCTGCCAGTGAAGGGGCTTCCTAGTGAGTGGAAACTTTTCCTCCTTCACAGCTTCCTCCCAGAGGTGCAGGTCCTGTCCCTATTCCTTTGTCTCTGTTTTTCCTTTTGCTTTTCCCAGGTACGTGGGAATTTTCTTGGCTTTTGGGAAGTCTGAGGTCTCCTGCCAGCGTTCAGTAGGTGTTCTGTAGGAGTTGTTCCACATGTCGATGTTTGTTTGTTTTTTGTTTTTTTTTTTGCGTAGGTGTTCTGTAGGAGTTGTTCCACATGTCGATGTTTGTTTGTTTTTTGTTTTTTTTTTGCGGTACATGGGCCTCTCACTGTTGTGGCCTCTCCCATTGTGGAGCACAGGCTCCAGACACGCAGGCTCAGCAGCTATGGCTCACGGGCCCAGCCACTCCACGGCATGTGGGATCTTCCCGGACCGGGGCACAAACCCATGTCCCCTGCATCGGCAGGCGGACTCTCAACCACTGCGCCACCAGGGAAGCCCTGTCGATGTATTTTTGATGTATTTGTGGGGAGGAATGTGATCTCCACATCTTACTCCTCCGCCATCTTGAAGGTCCCCCGCAAGGGTTGTAACTTTGGTCATCATAATGGTCTATGCTATCTCTGTGCCAGTTCATCTATTCCCACATTTCTAGCTCTACCTATAACCTGACAACTACCAAATCCACATCTTTAGCCCAACCTACTTGTTAAGCCTCAGATATCATTAATGTCAGGCACCACAATCTCAGCACATTCCAAAGTGAACTTATCTACCCCTACCCCGTGACACAAACCTACTCATTATCTTTCCTGAAAAATCTGCTCATGTTCCAAGTTGCCTGTCTTGGTTAAGGACTTGCTACATACTCTGAGGACCAGGCCATAAACTGAGGAATCACTGTAGACAATTCCTTCTTTTTACGCCATTTCTATCCCTTTCTACTTAGTGGGTCACAATTACCGTGGATTACTTATGACAGTTATTTTACTTCAGTCTGAGTCTCATATCTTGCCTAAGCAAATGCAAAAATCCCTAGGTCTAGGCTCATACTCCTCTAATCCATCATCCATAATCATGTCTTTCTAAAACATGTATCTATTGATGTTTTTCCTCTACTTTAAACCAATTAATGGCTCCATGTTACCTTGAGGATAAAAATCCAAATTTAAACATTGTATATAAGTGTCTCCATAATCTGATATTTGTCTGATTCACTACACTTGTTCACTCCTCACCACTTAACTTTGATCCAGTCATATTAAATCTCTCTCAATTCCACTGGCAGTGATGATTTAATGAGAAAATAAATGTAAAGTACTCAGTAGAGTATCTGGCACATACTAAGCACTTAAAAACGATAGTTCACTATGTGTTCCAAGATTCTAGGCCTGTGGACAACATAATGGTCTATTTAGAAGTGCTTCATAACACTCTCACCCAGGGGCCTGGTGAACTCCTAATCAATTAAAACCCAGCTCAAGTACACCTCTCTGCAGCTTTCTTTGACCCACTCAAGCAATTAATTAATCCTCATTTATCTCATCATCATATAACTGGTTTTTACCTGTATGACTGCAATTATCATCTTTCGATCCAATTCTTTGTTTACATGTTTAAGTTCCCCACTAGAATGTGGTCCTCAAGCATAGTGACTGCTTCTTAGTCATCTTTGTATTTTCTACTGCCTGATATGGTAGATTTGTGATAAAAGCTTGTTGAAATTAATATCTCTTAATACAAAATGTAATTCACTTGAGGAAAAAAGCGCTAGGGTAGGATCAGAAGTGATTGGCTATCTCAACCTATTTGGAAAAGGCTAATCATTAAAAAAGTCACACTAGGCCCTACGGAGCAGAGCCAATTTCTTTTTTTAACAAATAGGAGGTAATATGTGAATCCATGAAGAAAAGTTAATTGTTTTCCATTGCTAGTAAATATTTGCCTTTTGACTTTTTCCCCTTCTGTAAAAAAAACAAAAACAAAAAACCAGATTTTTAAAAAAGTTGTTTCAACTCTTTGTTGAGAAATAACACCTAAACAGGAAACAAAGGGGCAATATCTATAAGTAAGTTTTGTGTAGAAATATTTCAGTTTGAACAACATGAAGCAAATATTAGAAGCAAAATGTACCAAACTCCATAAATGGCTAGTTTACTTGCTTAATCTGTTAGAAATATGACTTACTGTGGTTACTATTAAACTGAACAGAACTAAAGTAAAAAGCAGATGGTAGTTTACAGAGTTCTTTGTCTTGAAACATTCAAACCTTAAAAAGAGAGAGAAAGAAACTTGTTTTAGAATATATAACTAGGAAAACAAATAGAACACTGTTTTACCACTTGTATACTTGCCCCTGGGTCTAGTGATGCCCATCATTTCCTCTCAACCACACACTCATCTTAGAGAACCCACACTGCCTACAGCCTCCAAGAGGCTATGGGGACCAGGAGTAGATACCTGACTTAAACTGGGCCAGTGAGAGGCTCTCTTCTGAAAATTTGGAGTTTGGGAGCCAGAGACTTAATCAAGTGTAGAGAATCAACATATAAAGCTGTGTGGACTCAAGGTCTGATGCTTATATTTGGGCAACTAACTTGAAGTAGATGAGTGAGCAGAGAAGTGATCTGCAGGAAGAGAAAAAGGAAGCAGATACAAAGACTTGAAGCCATGTGGAGAGGAAGGAATAGATAAAAGAGGGAGGGAGAGAGAAGTTGCCCTTCCAGTTCTGGTGAGCTGGACTTCCTGCTATGCCATATAATTCCCTCATGTCCTTACAGTAAATAAATCTCTCCTAAATCAACTGGCTTGGGTAGGTTTCCACATCTTGGAACTAATGATCCCTGACTAATGCACACTGTCACAGAAAATGTCACTCTATTACAATTGTCTCTTTGCTTATCTGTCTCCCCAACTAGACTGTGAATTTTCTGTGTGCAGGGATAAAATCTTTTTTTCATATACCTAAGTCACTAGGAAAGTCTGACACAGGAAACATTCAGTGAATAAGTAAATATGAACATACATTTGGCTATCAGCTAAGTATCCAACCTTTGAACCTATGTTTTGTATAAGCAGCAGGAGAGTTCTCTCAGTTTACTAATTAACAGGAATTGGACCCAACTCCTATTTCCCTATCTGTAAAGAAAGGTGGCTGGAAAGTAATGGCAATCATATATTGAAAAGAATCAGATAACCATCACATAAAGGATTCAGAGAAGTCTTACTAGCACTAGACCTCTTTTACCTTTAAATTCTGTGACTTGATGACTTTGTGTGTGTGTGCATGTTGTGCTTCATTTAATGAGACACATAACCAGACTATTTGAGAGGGATGTTTTTGGAACAAAACATTAACTGAGGTAAGAAAGCAGTCATCTTCTGCTTTCTGCTCTCCCTTTCTTGTAGTACTTGTCTGGGTACTTTTTAAGTATCTGCTCTCAGCTTTGTCTCATGCAGGTACAGGTACATCAGGACATTAGCATATCAATGCTTGCGGTTACTTTATTTTTCTTTTAATAAATATAGTTTTGACAGAAAAGATAGATTAGTAAACAATGTCAAGGAGAGTAAAGACCTTAGCCTCAGTCTTGAGGACAGCTTTCAGAAAATGGTGCATGGGATTTCCTTGTTTTTGATCTTGTTTTCTAACTGCCCAAATCTGCTTGTCACAGATGCAGACTGTGATGGGCTGATGACTTATTAAGAAGAGTCACCTGAAAATATTTTTCTAGATCGGGGTGGTAAACTACAGTGCAAGAACCAATTTCTCAACCTAAGCCTGTTTTTGTAAATAAAATTTACTGGAAGACAGTCACACCCATTGGCTTACATATTATCTATGGCTGCTTTCACACTACAACAGCAGAGTTGAAGACTTGCAACAGAGACCATAGGCCCAGAGAGCCTAAAATAATTACTGTCTGGCCCTTTACAGAAGAAGTTTCCGATGAGCTCTTTTAAATAATATATTTTTTCAAACTATTTTTATTTTTATCTATCTTTAGAAGATATTCTTGAGCTAGCAATGATGATCCTGTTGAAAAGAATCAGATAACCATCACATACGAGGTTTAGAGAAGTCTCAAGAATTAACACTAGAAAACAGAAGGTATATTTTAAAAGTTAAGTTTCTTAAACTTGTAGTTCAATTTCCAACTGTGACACTTACTAACCGCATGACCTTAAGCAAGTCACCTAAGCATAAGCTCTGCTTATATTCTTAGATAAAATGGGGACAATACCTATTTATCTTGCACAACTGTGAGAATTTAGAGATGATTTCATGTGCTGCCCAGCACAATTACAGGTACAAAGTAGAGAAATGTTATTATGGCATAATAAATAAAATCTTCACCTAAATTTTTATATATTCATAACTCAAGGAAAGGCAAATTGTGTAAGTTAATCTTACTTAATTTAAGTAAGATTCTATCTAAATTGGCTATAAGGTTTTGAGATCAAACAAGTTCATAAACAATATTATTATAACTTCCCAGAGATTATACTCTACATTGAAATCACAAAAGTTACAATCTTCTACACTGTTACAATCTCCCAGTAACACCACTGGATTAGTTATATTACATAATTCCCTATGAAGCAAACATGAATTTAAAAATATATCAAGCATATGAGTTTTAAACATAAATACTTACATGCAGTATACAAATATACAACAGCTGTAAATCATTGGGAGTTCATCCAATAGCTGTAAGAAACAAAGGTAACAGGACATGAATATTGTAGAGCTGCAATTATGTGAATCCAAAATAAAACATCAGAATGATTAAGATGGTCACCTCTTATTATCTGATATCTTTTACTAATTCTCATATATTTATCATCATCTAATTTATTCTCAGTGTGTATATTTAGTTTATTGTTTTTGAACAAAGAAGCTTACCCACCCATCTGTCCTAATCTACACACCTAAGTGGGATGCCTGACTCACTGGTCAGCTTGGATCATTCAGTATCATAAACCATGATAACATGCCTCCAGGAAAGAATGATGTCCACCATCTACAGGTGATAGGTCCTATCAGCATTCTTTTGCGTTTTCCCCCCATCCTATAGCACCTAAGATAAATAAAATGTTCAGTCATATACATAAAAAGAGATAGTAATTGTTGGGGAAGTCAGTTAATCTAAGTGATGTCTAAGTATGTCTCTGAAAAATAATAGTATTATTAGCAATAATAACAGCTATAGCTATTACCTATTAAACTACAAGCTGGACACTAAGTGTCCAGCTAAGTGTTGTGATAGGGTATTTCTAATATTTAAACCAATCCTATAGAATTTATTCACTAGATATGCATTTGATGAATTCTTTAATAATATATCTACTATGTGCCAGGCAACATGTTAGGGGCTGAGGATACAATAAAAACAATACATAATCACTGCCCTCAGGGAATTCACAGTCTAGTGAGGTAGAGGGAATGAAAAACATGTGATTAAATACACAGTAAAGATTCCAAAAAAGGGGGCACAAAGAAGCCAGAAAACGTGGTGGCAGGAAATGAAATGGTGGCTGAGAAAGGCATTCTAGGAAGAAGGAAGAGAATTTATGCAAAGTGATATATTCTAGTAAATTATTGGAATAGTGAAAATGACAGCATTTGTGCAAGGTCTTATGATTAAATGTGTCACATTTATTATTTCGTTTATTTTTCACAATTCTAAGGTAGGAACTATTATCTACATTCCAAGATGAGAACACTGAGGCTTACAAGGTTTAAGTAACTCTTTTTTTCCACATCTTTATTGGAGTACAATTGCCTTACAATGTTGTGTTAATTTCTGCTGTACAACAAAGTGAATCAGCTATATGTATACATATATACCCATATTCCCTCCCTCTTGAGCCTCTGAAGATCATATGCTAATATGCAACAGAGTCAGATTTTGAACGGACTCCTCTATATTATGTTGCCTCCAAAACCATTCATTTGAATCACCTTTAAATGTTCAAAAAAACTGGTATAATATCATGACTTACTGCAGGTAAATCTACCACCAGTTTTATGATATACAGAAGATTCCTTTATTTAAAGTTTTGAACCAGGACCTAATGACTTTACATTAAACACCTTTAGATGGGTCTTTTGTGTTTCCACATAAATTTAAAAATTTTTTGTTCCAGTTCTGTAAAAAATGCCACTGGTAATTTTTCTTTTTTTTCTTTTTCTTTTTTTTTTTTGTGGTACGCGGGCCTCTCACCATTGTGGCCCCTCCCGTTGTGGATCACAGGCTCCGGACGCGCAGGCTCTGCGGCCATGGCTCACGGGCCCAGCCGCTCCGCGGCATGTGGGATCCTCCCAGACCGGGGCACGAACCTGCGTCCCCTGCATCGGCAGGCGGACTCCCAACCACTGCGCCACCAGGGAAGCCCGCCACTGGTAATTTGATAGGGATTGCACTGAATCTATAGATTACCTTGGGTAGTACGGTCATTTCTAACAATATTGTTTCTTCCAATCCAAGAACATGGTATATCTTTCCATCTGTTTGTGTCATCGTTAGTTTCTCTCATCAGCATCTTATAGTTTTTGGAGTACAGGTCTTTTGCCTCCATAGGTAGGTTTACTCCTAGGTATTTTATTCTTTTCGATGAGATGGTAAATGGGATTGCCTCCTTGATTTCTCTTTTTGACGCTTCATTGTTAGTGTAGATGTGCAACAGATTTCTGTATATTTATTTTGTATCCTTCAACGTTACCAAATTCACTGATGAGCTCTAACAGTTTTCTGATGTTGCTTTAGGATTTTCTATGTATAATATATCATGTCATCTGTAAACAGTCAACATGTGATTTTTGAGGGGACACAATTCAGTCCACAGAAGTGTGGCAGTATGTTTCAAAATATAAATTTTATTATTATTCAAGTATGGTGAAGCCAACAGATCAGGAGATGATTGCCACTGAAAAGGAATTCCCTGGCGGTTAGGACTCCATGCTTCCACTGCTGGGGGCCCAGGTTCGATCCCTGGTCAGGGAACTAAGATCCCATAAGCCATGTGGCATGGCCAAAATGAATAAACAAGGAAGTAAACAAAATAGGAGGTAAAAATTAAGGGGGAACTTTCCCCCTTAAAAAAAAAAAAGATAGTGTGTTATTCACAGTTCCCAAGAGGAGGGGGCACGCCATGCAATGCAGGACAGCATAGGAAAGCACCAGGGTCAGTCAGGGGGCAGAAGGAGCAAGAGGAAAAGTGTGGGCAAGACCCTTTATTGCGGTTTCCTTAAGAAAGGCAAGGCAAGGGAGGGTAAGCAGGTTTAGAACTGGCTACTTTGAATAACTTCAGGGGGCCCTGGGGTATAGGAGCTATCTTCAGTTATCTGGTACCTGGCTCTGGGGTGATTAGAGCAGAGGAATACTGCCTCCTGGAGTGTAAGATGTGGTTTAGAGAATGGGTTCTGGATTGGTTAGTTTGCATACGAAAGGCACAGACCAGGTTGAGTTGTTTGCTATATCTAAGAACTGGCTATCCCTGGGAGGGGCAGTCTCTCACTAATCAGCGAGGACCCAGATGCTAGAACATCAAGAATACATAAGGGGTAAGACAGGAATAAAGACACAGACCTACTAGAGAATCGACTTGAGGATATGGGGAGGGGGAAGGGTAAGCTGTGACAAAGTGAGAGAGTGGCATGGTCATATATACACTACCAAACTTAAAATAGATAGCTAGTGGGAAGCAGGTGCATAGCACAAGGAGATAAGCTCGGTGCTTTGTGACCACCTAGAGGGGTGGGAGAGGAAGGGTGGGAGGGAGGGAGACGCAGGAGGGAAGAGATATGGGAACATATGTATATGTATAACTGATTCACTTTGTTATAAAGCAGAAACTAACACACCATTGTAAAGCAATTATACTCCAATAAAGATGTAAAAAAAAAGAGAATACATAAGGTAATATAGTTGTTATGAACTGAATGTGCTTGTGTCAGACACAAATTCATATGTTAAAGGTCTAACCCGAAATCTGATGGTATTTGTAGATGGGTCCTTTGGGAGATAATTAGGATTAGACGAGGTCATGAGGGTAGGGCCCTCAGATGGGATTAATGCCCTTCTAAGAAGAAACATCAGAGAACTTGTGAGAAGGTAGCTGCCTGCAAGCCAGGAAGAGAGCTCTCACCAGACCTGACCATGCTGTTACCCTGATCTCGGACTTCCAGCCACCAAACTATGAAAAAAATAAATGTCTATTGTTTAAGCCACCTACTCTATGGTATTTTGTTATGGCAGCCCGAGATGACCAATAAAGTAGTGAATATTTGGTGCCAGATCAGGTACGTGTGGAGAGTGCTCTGAAGGGAAAAAACACGGATGTGGGATGACTAGCTAGGAGGTTACAGAAGTCAGACTAAGCAAAGTTGCTACTTGGATTAAGGTAACAGAATTGGGAATAGACCTCGGTGAACAGACTTGAGAAGTATTTAGGAAGTAAAATAAACAGAGATTTGTGATTGATTTGACATAAAGGTGAGGCATAACAAACTCTCAAGGATGACTCCCAAGTTTCTTGCCTAAACACTTCAGTTGATGGTAAGCATAGTTTACTGAGATTGTGAAAACAGAGACAATTACAAGAACAATTTTCAACGTGTTGAGTTTGAGGTACCTGTGAGACAGCCAAGTGGAAATGTCAATCAGACAACTAGAAATACAGATCTGTAGCTGAGAAGAAAGGTCTGGACTCCAGATGTTGGCTGCTTTTCTGTTTATTTGTTTAAAGAAACTAAACTGAATTAAGCATATGTTAAATGGCATGGATTTTAAAATCTGGTTAATATAAGTACAAAAGTCTTATTTCAAAACCGTAACTAGCAAAATTATGACTGGTAAAAGAACACAGAGTTCTAGAGTGGGGTGGGGTATGTGTTTGAAGATGAGTCTGGAGAGGTAGGCAGAGGCCAGATCACAAAGCCTGTGGTTTAAATTCATGCGCTTGAGCTCTGGAAAGTATTAAAGAGGTTTAAAAAGTGACATGCCATCTGAAGAGCACGGACTGTATTTATGCATCTCATCCCCAACACTCGTACAAAGCCTAGCAAACATTGCTAAAAGAATGAAAACAGGAAGAGTATTTCTATTCCAGTGTGACAGAAGGATAGGGGAGGCAGGGACACCAATTAGGAACCAGTTACAGGAATCTGGGTTGGAAATGATTGATTAAGGCAGTGGCAGTGGAGACAGCTAGAGGTAGACATATGTAAGAGTTATTACAGAAGTTGAATCAAGAGTTTGTAGAGGTGAAAAAAGTAGGAGAAATTAGAGATGAATCATGGGTTTTTGGTTTGGGCTTTGGGTGTAAGGTGGTTTCATTTACTGAGATAGGGAGCAAAGGAGAAAGAAGGGTAGTATTTATAACCAGAACATCTGCTGTTAACATTATAAAGTCTGACTTAGCTTACATTACCTAACATTTACACTATTTTCGTTTCTGTATTATAAATAAAGTTATAGTGAACAAAACAGTTTTTTTGGTTTTATTTTCTAGGATAAATATATTTATTTTTACTTGTGAGAAATACATGAATACATCCTTTTTTTTTTACTAGCGTTTTTTCCTAACATCAAACATATTACATGCTCAGTATAGAATACATGGAAAAAGCAGAAAAACAGAAAGAAAAAACTAAGAAATTACCTTCAATTTTACCCTCCCCGTGATTATCAATAATTGTATATATCA